TTTTGTAAAATTTCAAGCTCCTTTTTGTCGTCAGGAAAAGAATTGTGACGTGATGGAGTAATTTTGACGTCAGGTTCACTCCATCACATGGCACTTTTTTCCTAACTTGATAGCTTGAAATTTTACAAAATTGCACTGTTTGTGGAGGTATTATTGGTCTACTTGAAAAAAGTTATGCGAATGTGATATTCTTATGTATATTGAGCGCTGAGGAATTTTGTGTAGTTTCAAGCTATTTTTTAAGGTTAGAAAAAGTTTTGACGTAATGGAATAATTCTGGCGTCAGATTCGGAAATGACTACTCGCGTCTTTTGTTCAATAATAATTATTTTTTGTATGCCTGTGTAATCAGTAGCGATTGCGTAGTTAAAAGGGCTTATGGTACAGAAGAAACAATCACCCAGTACATCTATCTCGATAATTTCGGACTAAAATATTGCTCTTGGCGTACTAAATATTTGTAGTATTTTTGAAGTAGACATTGCATTTTGTTCAGGAGTTAAGTAAGAAAAACTATAAAAAGTCCCCACTCTGTATTAACGGTACATTTTAGGGAATTTTTTTATTTGAAACACCCCTATTATTTTGATAATCACTTTTCGAAACTGCTGGTTAAAACTGAATCGCCCTGTATAAAACTAACTTCGTTAATAGTCGGAAATGGACTGTGGTGGAAATTTTCAAAAGTTACCCGGAAAAGTCAGGGAATTTAATTTTGTCAAATCACTCATCACTGGGTACCTTGTGTTTATTATATTTTAGTTATCACTATTATTCTTAACATTATGACAAATAAAAGTTTATCATATTATCAATACCATTAGGGGTCGATTTTTTATATTCTATTGCATTTATTTCATAGATAGATTTTCTTGGACGTTAATACTTGTTTCCAGGGTATTTAAAAAAAATCTAAAAACCTGCCAAGGTATTTTATTAATGTTTCTTTAAAGAAATTAATATATATTCAATTTGTAAGCAGAACTTCGTAAAAAAAAACAATAGTTAAAAAAATATGTTTATTTGTCCATATTAGGTGAAATAATAATAATTCAGTTATTTTTCATTTAATTCCATATTTAAATAATATTTAAAAAAATTGTTAACTACAGTATTTGTATTATATCATAATTTACACAATACAAATATTTTAATTTACAATTAGATTAAGTAATGGTGTAAAGGTTATATTTTATTGGGCTTGCTACATTACATTTTAATTTCAATATTCAATATTAATAATATAACAGATCAGATTTAGCCCAACTGTTGCATTATGTTATTTCGTTTTTTGCATGCATTAAATATAACTTTTTTTAAAAATATGTGTTTAATTAGTATCATCCCTAAATTTTTTCTTTTGATATTAAGATGTTCTTAAGAAATCACTATTAAGTCGGTAATTTGAAATGAAGAAGAATTTAGAATAAAACATTATTTCTTTTACAACGGCATAAATAATTTAATCAAGTAATGTGAATTATTATTTGCCTTCTTTCGTGTAATGTGTAATAAATAACATTTTACGTCAAAATATAAAATTTTATCGTTATGTAATTAAAATAGGTATATAAAGAAACTTACCATGTGCACATTTCCATGGTCGAAACAAGAATGATACGTAAGCTAAATAGATAAGCAGTTCAAGAAGGTTTTTTTTGTAAAGGTATTGCTAATATTTCAAAAATCTACCCATCATTCTTTAAAATATATAATAACCCTCACGAAAAGAAAGAAAATATATTTTAACGTGTAAAAACATTTACATGCAGGCATGACATACCTATAAAATTATGATAGTATTATCAATAATACATATGATAATATGGAAATAATATGTCCTATAAGTAGAATGCATTATCTTTTTACGCTGTTTTACTTTTCGTATCGTTTCATAAAAAATTCACGCGTACCTACATAGCTAACGTAATGAACTTGAGAAAGTTTTGTATTCTTTGGTTAAAATTTGATATGCCAATATCAATGAGTTGCATTCATATTTAGATCACAACATAAAATTTACTTAATAAATTAATTTGTGGTGTCAACGATTGAATTAGAGAAATAACTTTTAAGTTTGAGACAGATACAGAAATTTCATCCTAAGTAAAAATATTTCATTTCTGTCTAAAAAAAACTTATCCTATTAAAATGCATGGTTATTTTCACTAAAACTGTTCAAATTGTTTTCATTGTTTCTTCCAAAATTGGAAATATAGTAATTATGACAAGAATTATTTTTAGATTAGATATGGAGGGTGTTCCACTTTTAAATACCAAAACTTCGACAGTCGAGAGGGGATCCCATTTTAAGAAAAAAGGTTTCAATAAACACGCATCGTATTTCGTTCGGCTTTATAGATACAGGGCGTTGAGGTTTATGTTTTTTAAGTTTCAGTCCTAATTATCCCTCAAACAGATTGAGCTATCGATATAAAACTTAATATACTTATTGAATGAATAATGAATTTAGATATACTGGGTCTCTTAGTTTTCGAGTTCATCAACTGTTTAAATCCCTCAATATATTTAATTTATACTACGCCACTGGTAATTTTTGAATATTATTTTTTTTTTGTCAATTGAAGGACAATATACCATTATGAACTAAAATCAGCTTGTAACTATTCTTCAAATAGTAAGAAAATTTTGGTAATAAATGTTTCACGTCTTTATTAAACAAATGATTACAATTTATTACTTGCTTTTCTTTAACTGACAATGTAGTTTTTTTTCCAGAATGTTTGTCTTCAAATCTTGCATCCTTTATTTAATACACTTCCTGACATAACCAATTGAAGAAATTTTGCACAGTTACTAAGGTCGGATGACAATACAACAGTGTACCGTTACTTTTGCAAATATCCCCACAGGGGTGCGCGGGGGTGAACATTGAAAAATCTGCAAAAGTATGATAGGTAATAATTTAATGTATGATAATAATTTATTTAAAGTATGACTGAAAATAAGAAAAAATTAAAAACTTGCTTTTCTTAGTTGTACTAAAAAGTAAAAAATAATTTCTTTGCAAAAAAAGCCAAAAAAAGCCAAAAAAAGCAAGGCGTGCGCACTTTGTACAATCTACGTACAATCATACAAAGTGCGCACGCCTTGCTTTTTTTTGTCAAAGAAATTATTTCTTACTTTTTTAGTACGACTAAGAAAAGCAAGTTTAAAAAAACATTTTTTTTTCTCTTTATATGTGTCGGTAACTTATTAAATAATTTTATAGGCTATACTTCTTTATCTATCAGTCATGATTTTAGCTCTTGGCGCCCCTGTCATATGGCCCTTCGTGCGGCGTACAAAATGGCCAGCCGCTAGATATGGCTCTGCTTAAAGTATGTTAACAAAAAACGTGCTTCTTTAAATAAATACGGACTGTTTCGTTGGAAAATATTGTCAAATATAGTACTATTGATTATATTTTGAACGTCCCTATTTACCACCAGGGATACGAAAAATAAAACAAGATTATTTTCAATGTTGTAGGGATCATTCTGTTCTGAACTCTCAAAAAAATCTATAAAAATAAACAATTGAACATCGCCTTTCTGAGATACAGTATAATTTTTTTTTTAAATAGAACACCCTATTCATTTTTATGTCATTGAAATTTACTGAGCTTCCTGATTTCAAAAATATATACATATTGTATGTTATCTTCGAAACTTCTACAGATATCAACATATGTATGTATCTATTAAATTGTTTATTACATTACAATACAGAAAAACAATTGAATTCAGATCTTCCCTGACAATGTAAAACAGTTGCATGTGGAAAAGGTAAGTTGTGAGGAAAAAATGTTTTTTTGCTGCTATTTTTTTTTAACTGAAATTTGGACAAGTATAATAATAACATTCATATGTTCAAAATTTGTTCAAAACAAAAAAAGAAAAACACGAATTGCTTTCAAAAACAAATAAATATTTTTTCCCTCAAAACTTACTTTTTTCACATATTTATAATGTTTTACCTTGACAGGCAAGAGCTAAAAGGAAATTAATGCTAAAAGAAAACATTTTATTAGAAAAAAATTACAAACACTGCTCACTAATGTCACCAATTTTCCCGATACATATACGGAACCTGTTGTCTAAATTGTTTATTGCATTTGTTATATAATTTCAACATGTATTTTTTTCTATTCACTATAACCCATCTTTTCATTCTTAATAATTTAAAATACACCGAAAATATGACACCACCATTTCATTGTTTATTTTTTATTGAAAATCAATTTAATTCAAATTTATACCAAATATTAAAAATATATCTAACACAAAAATATAGGCAGATTATGAGCATTCAGTGTAAAATATGAAATGTTTAGTATCTCAAAAAGCGACGTCAATAATTATTTTTTTGTTGACGTTTTTTAATAGCAGAAATAATTTAGCAGTCGGGGAACTGATGAAAGATATGTTGCTATCTCTAGAGGTTCCGACCATAATATATATGTATATATTTTTGAAATCAGGAAAATCGGTAGATTTCAATAACCAAAATATACGGGGTATTCCTTTTAAAAAGACAAAAGATTATGTTGTATATCGAAAACACGATGCATAATTGTTTTTTCTAAATTTTCGATTCAGAATGAGCCCAATAACTTTGAAAATAATTATTTTGTTCATATCTCAAAAACAAGGGAGATCTGGGCATTTAAAATGTAAGTAATCACCCAGTACATTTTTTTGCGTTTTTGTAGACTATTCGAAAACGACTAGTCTAACTTAAAAAAAAATAGTCGGTATAATATACACAAAATAAAACGTAAATATATATTTTTTTATTGTCTTATTTATATTAACGTTCTTGCAGAGTTTAGCAGATTGCATTCCACCACTCAACCAGGACAGATACACACATAACAACCATTCCCTCCGAGATTTGCTAGATGCCGCAGCTGAGACTCGAACTCAGGAGAGATAGACTACTCGTATTCTGCCACATAACAACGCATCAGCCAAATATGCTACGTTACTATACATCCAAGCCCTAGCCAGGATTCAAACCCGGGACTACTTGGTTTCAAGCCTAACGTATAAACACTGAACTACTTAGCCGACACAAAAAAATTGTAACGATTGTTTCACCATATAGTGGCTTCATGAGATGTTGAGTAAAAGGCGCCTCTTGTAAAGTTTATTTCAAACTTATTTGCAACATAAAAAACGTCGGCTTCTTTGATTATTTTACCCTCGTCAAAGACGCCGACATTTTTTATATTGCAAATAAGTTTGAAATAAACTTTATTCAACATTTGATGAAACATGGCGTGGTGAAATAATTTGTGAAATTTAAATATACAAGTTTATGCTTGTGTTCAGTGTTCAAGAATTAACACCGAGAAAGAATCATTCTTTTGTTTTTGTGAGAGCAGTATCAAATTTAAGTGTCACTTCTTTTGGCACTACATTAAAATTGCGAATTCTTGCAAAAATTAGAAAACTATCTGAAATAACTAAAACACACTTAGGAAAGACATCGTTTTTGTATGCCAAGACAGAACTAAAACTAAAAATATAAATATTTTAATTGCACTTGAATGTGATTGCCTCTATTTGTCTATGATAAGTTTTGTTTTGGTTTTCCCAAAATACATAAAGTAGAAATATATTTATAAATACATTTGGTATAGCAACAATAGTTCATCGTCCTAAATATTTAATCTTTATCTTCAGAGTTAGGTATATTTGGATATTTGATAATAATTTATTATTGAAGTATATTGTACTTATTGTACTTTACTCATTTCATTTCCCCACTCAGTGTCACATTGTCCATATATAAGTTGTGTCTTCTAATACCAAAATTATTTTAAAAGTTTTAGTGTAATAGCAAATAAACAAAATTATAAGTTTATCTACTAATTTAAACAGGTATGTCTGACTTAATTTATAATAAATTTTAATTCCTGAGTATAAAAATTAGCTCATTTCATTTTCATAATATTTAGTTATTCTATGTAATTTTTAGTAAATGTTTTATGGTAAGCCTGATTTTCTTTTTCAAATCTTAATTGACTAAAAATCCCGTCAACAAAAATACACCCACATATAATGTGTATGAGCAAACTTCTTTTTTTGAAATTTGAAATCAGGGTGTGTTGGAGAGAATTTGTATGCAACTTTTTGCTCTAATTGTATTAAAAAAAATTGTCTGTAATAAACATGCTCATTGTGTAATAGCAGTGTGACTATCAAATAAATATGCATACATAATAATATATAGTGTAACAGAACGATACGGTACAAATTTGGAAGGTGACTATGTGACAGAATATTATGTATAAACGTAATATAAATATTCGTTGCATCGTTGAGGAAGAAATCTGTTATTGAAATAATTTCGGTCCTTCTAACTTAACTAGGGGTATAGCGCGGATTACTGTTACTCGTTTTAAAAATTAATAGTTGATCAGTCAAAGCGGAAGCCATGATATGAAATTTCTTCATGGCATTAACTTAAATAGCTATGGAACTAGAGCGCGGACCGACAGATACACTGACATAGGGCGCGCAATTAGTATGAAGTTTAGAAGTAGTAAAACTTCATAACAACTTGTAAAATAGAGCGACAAGAAATATATTTGTAAATTTTTAGTCTAGATAATGGTAAACGTCTTAAAAATTCACTAAAAAATAGTTTTCTTAATTTTGAGTAAATTTTTATCAATGTATAATAGTCACTGAGATGATTCACACCTTTTTTGTTGAATTAGAGAAATGATATTATATAATACGTCAATACACAAATAAATATCTGATGTGACCAGCACATAACTTTCTTATACCAGTATATATCACCCTGATCTAAAAAAATCATTCTATTTAATTCTTCACTTACCTCAATTAAATTTTTAAAAACGTACCTTGAAATGTTTCATTAAAATTTTTTACTAATTAATTATCAGCGTTCTTCGACACTGTCAATAATAATTCATGTCATATATTTTAATAATTTCTTCTTATTGAAATTGACATTTTTGTAACTAAATTAGATATTTCAAATGTCAAACTGCCAAATTTATCCAAACCCCATTTTATGAGGTCAAATGCGTAAAAAATTTCAGTTTAGGTCGAAAAAAAATCGCGATTACTATACTTCCTGATATTAGGTATACGAAAGTAAAAAAAACAAATTAAGTGAGATACTAGATAGCAGGCAATAATTAACGACTGGAAGTGAGATCGGTGGGACACATTCCAACGAATTGTGAAAAATAATTATAGTGATTTATTTGTCTTTCAAAATTTGGTTATTGTCACTAGTCGATATACTTTTCGGATTAAAAATATTGTTCCTTTTTGGATTACTTTCGTCTGGAGATGAAAATCGTTATTTTTCTTGACGGAGCATAATTGTGTATTAAAACTTTATTTGGAAACGCATCAGTAACACCTAGAGGCGTTTGGTTATTAATTAATTAAAATAATTTGTCATATTGGATATAAAAGAGATAGCTGATGGTTTTATCACAGAATGCGAGAATAAATTCCTAAGATTCCTAAGAATCCTGCGTATCAGTATAGACGAGTTTTTACTGAAAATCCGCCCATAACCCGCTGAAGCGCTGTCACTTGTCAGTTAACTAGGCGCAACTGTAGACATCAACCAGAGGTCAGATCCACTCCTTATTATTTTGTGTATTTATTAATTTTGGACATCCTGCCGTTTATTATCAAATTTCCACATAACTTTCTATGATACTCTTTTTTTACATATATTTGAGATTTTGTTAAACTTTAATTATGGGTAAACATTCTTATTAATAATTTGATTTTATATTATATCAATTTATTATTGTTCTATACAAACTTTTATGAGAGTAATATAATATTTGAATACTTATTTATTTAATGGGTATTAAGTACATTAATTTTATTATTGTTAACAAAAAGGCACAATTTTCTTTTTAGTGCACCAGCATGCGCCTTTAATAAAAATCTTGATTATCTCAGCGTACGAAAAATTATGATGAATGAAACTAGTTTGTTTGGTACAGTTTTAGATAAACAATAATTCCCAGTTATTTATTATTATTTTCTGTTGTTTTGGGAAAATTGTTAGAGTTGTTAGTTTAATTATACTACTTAAATTACAAATTTGTCTAAACGTTTTATTTAATTTGTTCACATTACTTGGATTAATTTTTCATGGGTTAAATGAATGATATTAGTAACTAGTTATTAAATGTGTTAAGCGTTCCGTAACATATTATAACTATTTGAAACGAATCTTTAATTTTCTTTAGTTTTACCAGAAATATTTTAGTAGTATTGTTTTGTACATTTCGACTTAGACGAATTTAGCTTTATAGTTTTCTCGACATGAACCCTTATTTCTTGAATGAACCCTTATTTACCTTTTCTTTGAAAAAAAAAAGAACCACAACCTAGCTCACCGCAGACTAGTCATAGCCGGCTCGTGCGTTAATTCTTCTGGGGAAAAATTGTTTAATTTAATTTTCACCAATTTCCTTGGGTATTTCAGATCACGCACGATTTTATAACGGAATCTTCAATAATAATAATTAATAGCTTGCTTGTTTTAAACTGAAGAAAACCTGTTATACATCTTATATAGACATCCCATTTAAATCAATTCTACGTCTGTAAGTCCTGGAACTTAACGTATATTTAGGAGATATAATGTTTTCAATTACTTTAAATTAGTTTTACTTAAGCAAAATTTTCAGGTTATGGTTGCCAGTATTCTTAACACAAGCACTGATCAGCTGATAATTTGATATTGTATTTTACTTGCGTTTTTTGCTTTTATTATGGCTAATAAAAATAATAATAACAAAGTTTGCAATGGCCATTACTTAAACTCGGTATTCTCGAAAACGGCTTAATATGAAATTTTTACGTTATTCCAAATGTCTTAATAAATCTTTGAAAGAAAACGAAAAAAAATTCAATAAACCGTGTATAATCATCACTTCTTATATTCGACTTTCTGTTTTATTCCTCAATTTTTGTTGTTGGGGTATTCGAAAATCATCAATGTCTCACATTTTTTTCGTAAGATCGAGTAAGTTTCAGTTCCTCCAGCCAACTTTTTTATTACTAAACTTACGCCAATAAGGTATTTTCCTATTTTTTTCCTAATCTATTTTTATTAAAATTAATTAAAAAAATTGCATTTTAGATCTTACAAAATTGTTAAAGTTTTATGTCGTTTGTTGGTGTTTTACGTATTTTTAATGAATAATAATGTTAATTTCTTAGATAACTAGAACCATAACCTAAGTAATTTATTTAGTAAATTTAACTTGTAACAAAAATTGTTACGATTAGAAATCATTTCATGGGGAACGTTTGTGGCTAATTTGCAACGCGACTTCCGGAGTCACTACTTGAGGACTGCCTGGCGACGGACGGGAAATCGAAAAAAAAAAACGTTTGTCCACTTATGAACTTTAAAAATATTAAAACACTCTTTTTTTAAAAACGTCTTGTATATTCTTGCATATCGACTTTTTCAATAATACCACTTAGTATATTTACTTGATTGTTTTTGGGAATGGGCGAATATTAAAATGTAGAATTTCGTTCTTTTGTAGCATAGACTATATTTTACTCAAAATTTACAATTTCTGTTCGTTTATTTAAATGTATTAAACTGTATATTATGTATATTCTTAAAAACATGTAAATTTGGTTTGGAGTGAATAACTGAATGTATAAAATTATTTGGTACCAATTTTAGAAACCAATTTTAAAACAGTGTATTGTTTTATAGCATATTGTGTTGGATTATTTTACCGATATATTTACTTGTGAGGTGGAAAGGTTTATTGATTAGAAATATTTACGAACATTGTAAAAACACAAGCAAAATAATTTCAGCAAAAACTAATTTTAATTTAATGGCAAAGATTTTATGGTATTTCTTATATGGTATTACTAGAAACAATAGTCTGTAGGTATTTATAGACAGATAAATAGATAGATAGATCGATAAATAGAAGATAGGTAGATACACTTATTTATTATTTCACTTTAACCAAAGATAACTTTGGTTTAACCAAAGATAATATATACCAACATACAAGTTA